AGCTCTCGATGGTAAAAGAGTTGTTTGTACCCCGCAGTTAAACAGATGGTCGGTGGTGTAGGGTCCTATGTAGAAACTTCGGCAGCCGTCGGGTATTTTAATGTTCAGCCTGTTGTGGTAGCTGGCGAGGTGAGTTGAATATCCCGATCGCAATTTTGACAGTGTACGTCGAGTTTTCCGGTCAAATTTACTTTCATTTAGTGATAAAATTAGAGGCATTCTCCCAAGTAGCTTGAATTTTTCCTTAGGAACATTTTGTACTTCTGTGGTGTGAAGGTTTTTGATCCCGTTAGCGTATTCAAGCTTAGAGATGTTCTCCCGGTTTTCGTTAAGCAATTGTTCAATGTGAGGTCTGAACTTACATTTAGGGTGGGTCTGAAGTTCCGATTAAAACCTTTGTTGTTAATAGTGTGGTGGTCAGCTCTGTGCTCCTGGTAGCACCCGAGAAGAAACTGTTTAGAAAACATTTCATTGTTTTTTTAACCGGTAGAATTTTAGTCTCGTCATGTAAATGCTTTATGTCACTCATTCTTAAGCATCCGGTTGTTGTTCTTAGAGCGTTGTTTTGTTTTATTTGTAAACGTTGCTAGTTGGTGTAACTGAGTGTGTTGGTCCAAATTGGAGCTGCACAGTTCAGGGCACTCCTTACAATTGCCTTGTAGGTGACACTGAGTGTTGCTTTGGAGCAACCCCAAATAGTGCTAGCCAGTTTGTTAGTACATTTTTGCTTTTTTGTAGTTTGTTTTAGTGCAGTATACATTAAAATTCAGTTGGTTGTCAAATGTTACTCCTAGAGTTTTGCGAGTAGCGGGTAGTTTAGTTCCGTCAACTATAACATTTGGTTTTAAATTAATTTCATTGGTCCGAGTTAAGAAGTTGGTCTAAGTGGATTCTGTAGATGAAGTATGTGCATGTTTTGCTATTTCACTTCTTAGGCTGCTGAGATTCATGTGTTGATATATACTAGGATCTTGATAACCGTCCTCCGCTCCCTCTATACGTAAAGGGTACTTAGTACAACACTTCTGCCCCTTTAGAAGGATAATACAACGCTCAAACATATACACATTTTGTATCTTTCAATCAATCTGCAAGCGCGACAATGAGGAGCCCGGGTCTAGGTCCGCGACAACTTTCCAGATTTTCAAATGTCATTCAAATTTGCGCTGAAGGTTATTGTTCTTCAGTGATCGAAAAATCATAGTCTGAACAGGGCTGCAGGATCACGGACAAAATCTGTTATTATCTGGTATCTAGAATAACGGTCGCGATAGTCTGGATGCCAGTCGCAAAGTTCTGGAAATAAGTCGCAATGAGTTGGAAATAATAATAACAAGACTGCTCGTATCAGGGCGAACCCCTGAAGGTTCCGACTGCCTTTTAAGGTCTATGGAGCACTAATGACATGAAGAATTTAAATGTAAATAATAAAATTGATTTTTTTGTAAATTTATTCAATAATTGTATAATTTAATAATAATATAATCATATAATTTAAAATCAATACTAATTTTTTGTGAAAACATCCCTTCACACGCCATATTAAATAGAAAATGATAGATTTTGCTCCTATTAACAAATCAATTATGGCAAATAAGCTTCGTTCAACCAATTTGGAACGATTTCTAAGACTGATTAAATCTCCGCTTACGCGTTAATAGCGCGAAATATATCGCGCGTTAATTGTCCCAAATTGGTAAAAATGGCAATCTTTAAACCCCCATAACTTTACGAAAAATGATCACAGGTGAAATATCTTTTCAAATTTAAAATCAAGACAACAATACCTTTTGAATGATAAAAAAAAATTCCGTCAAAAATGGCTAGTTAAAAAGTCGAAATTTGTCTGAAGAAAAAAAAACCCACCCCGAGCACAAATATTCCGTTACTTTTGTATCGAAAGTCGGAACAATAAAAAATTGTTTGCAATGTAGATTCCATTCACTGTAAAATTTACTACATTTACAATTAAAGTAAGTCTCATTGCGAGAACGCCGTGGAACTTTGCAGCCCGTTTTCAACTTGGAAATAAAACGCGAAAATCTGGAAATTAATCACGATTGTCTGGAAATTAGTCGCGATAGTCTGGCTGGGGATCTACTTAACAATTGCCCTGCCCCCCCCCCTTTTAAGAAGGGGGGCAATTGTTAAGTAGATTAAACTAACGCATTTTCGACCAATCAGAATGCAGCAAAATTCTAATTCTCAATAGAAAGCTCAGTGCTAATTTACTGCTTTTATTAATAGGGGTGGCAATTGTTAAGTAGATCCCTGGCTGGAAATTAGTAGCAAAATTCTGGAAATTAGTCGCAATAGTCTGGAAATGGATAGTGGACCTGTGATGATGACAACGATAGAGAGCTACACATGATCTCAAACAAAAGTCCATTATGCGGATGCAAAAGGGGGAAATTTGTTACTAGGCACGAAATCCGCATATATTCAACCGTTGATTTATAGGGGTGGTTATTCTTTACAAGGAATCTTATACAAGGAAAGTTACTTAGATCAAACATGTGATAACTACGATTTCAAATACTGGTTTTTGTGGGAAAGGTACCACAATAAAAAGCTTTAAAAAATTGTGGAACAGAATCCAAACACAATTTTTAATTTAAATCCTTGTTTTAAAATATTGAAAATCTGAATATTTTAAAGATGCAGAGACCATTGCGTGCGTGGCGTTGTGGGCTTTTTAATGACCAAAGGGATCTATCACGTGTATTTAGGTCATCCTTTCTTAGTGACAATTGTGAATTTTGAGCAATTGTTTTTTCTTTCGATGATTTTAAACGTTCTTTTAAAATTCTTTTCCCTGTAGCAGAACTTATTTTTACACACCGAAATATAATAGATATTTTAACTGTACCGCTATTTCACTACTAGACGCGAATTATATCGCACTTGGAATTTGTACTGGATATCGCAGCCTGTCATCACGCCGAAAACTCAGATGGCCGAAAAAAAAATGTTTTCCGACTAAGCCAAAAAATTTTTGCAAGCAAGAATATTCATCACCAAAATAAATAAAACATTTGGAGTAATAGACCTTCACTTATCGGTTGATAAAGACCTCGGAGGGGTGATACGCCGCGCTTTTTACAAGCGCCTCTACTGATATAATTGCCGTATTATGTGTATTCAGTGACGATAAAAAGCGTCCCAATAACTGCAAAAGCGCGCTTGCCTTTTCATAGTCAATGTGTACAATTCTTTGCCAGCGAGTAGTGACTAAGGAAATTGGACGCAAATACACACTGTGAGCTTAGACGCGTGGGTGAAAGTGAAAATTAGATGTTGTGTTGCTTTTTCTAAAACAGCCATTATAACATCTAAGACGCATATACCAGCAGCACATTTTCATACAGCAAATTTTTATTATACTTTTACCAACAGATCCCGACGATGAGTTTTAAAATAGTTCCCTCAAAAACTCGCGGCGGCCAAAATCTCATTACAGAAGATGGCTTCAGATATAAAAAAGATCGCAAAACGAGGTGTGGTATTCATTATCGTTGCGTTGTTTCCAGTTGCTACACTCGATTAATGATAGACTTACAATCATCTTATATCATCCGAAGTCCAGGGCCACACATTCATAAGCCAGACTACATTTACAACGACCACGAAAGGTTCCGACAAGAAATGCTGGTAAAAGTTAAAAAATACCCAACGAAAAAACTCAGAACTCTATACGATGAACAAATAAAATCATATTCGGAGCTGGGAGATTTTATTGCACCAGAGTATCAGAAAATCAGTAGCGGTCTTCTAAAACATCAAAAACAGCGCAACCAAAATCCAAGAAAAATTTTGCCAAAAAATTCCAACAACCATCAAGACATCGAAGTTATGCCAAGCATTCCGAGCAATCCGCAAGCATTCGAAATTACGCCATCAGTTCAGAGCAATCCGCTGGACTTCGAAATTATGCCACGAATTTCACCGCATTCGCGGGACGTCAAGTTTTTACCAGGATTCGAGAACAACAATTCGGAGGACCAGGACATAAAAATAGAACATCCATGGAGTCCGAGAGAAAACTCCACCGGGGATTTTTTACTGCATCAATTAAAAGAATGGGTAACTTGTCTGTTCACTTGGCAATCTGCCCAGTTATTTTTTTTTCTGCGCGATGCTTAATTAAAACGAAGCAGCGAAAAAGATCTTATCTAGGTTTGGCGAAAAAAAGCTATAGTTCAAATATTGCTCTGAAAATAACCTAAAAAGTTTGCTATTATAGTGAATGTTGTCATCTTCCTTTCAAATTATTTTGAGTCAAAAAATGCTCTCAAGAGACTACTGTTTCCAGTTGTCGTGTGTAATATTTTCATCTACGTATGATTCATTTGAATTTCTAATAAATTGAATGTCAAACTTTATTGTTCATTGAGTTAGTTTTTGATATTTATATTCAGAAATTTCGAATTCTGAGAGAAATTCTTGCTTGAGATGATTTTGTATTCTGATACCTAATTTTCTTCAAAGTAGAAAGGATAATATATAGGGGATGGGGAGGGCGCAATTAGAAGTTTTATCCCCTTGGAAACCAAAATGCTACTTTCTGTCTTTGGCCGGCCGACCGAGCTCGTTTTGTTAACGCGCGTTTACTGGCAAATTATAAAGTCGAAAAAAGTTTGCGCCTTTGCACCAAAAAGGCAAATATACATATTTTATCAATGTGGTGCTCGGAAATGTACTTATTCCTCGGACACGTCGAATTCGTCCGCATTTCTAAAACAAGATTCAGTCCAATTCCGCTTTAGCTGTATGAAAAAACATGGGTTCAGTCAGCTAAGCCTTCGCTTAGTAATATTTATCTTCTTGTTAACATATTTGCCTTTCAGTGATATCAGAAATATTATTGCAACTAAGCCTTTTTGGTGTTTTACCTTGAAGGTCTTCATTCCAATTAGATTAAGATAATAAACACTGTACACTTCATTCACAACTATTTTTTTTTGTTAAAATGATAACAAGATTAAAACAATTTGTTTTAGTCTTCGGTGAATAGTGCAGCTTCTGCTTTGGGATCCTCGACTTCGACAAATGTCACTGTTCCTAACTTCTCTGTCGGCGATGCTCCCACCAGCTTGCAAACTGCGCCCACAGAGCTATCGCCCGGAATCAGCGGGGGCGGCTGCGGGACGCTGCCGACCTCCAACTCCGACGACTGTGGCACCGAAGATATAATGATGAGCGAGGGAAATTCGCCGATGATGGAATCTCTCGGATCCCCGCAGTCGGTGCTCTTGGACGTCGCCGGTCAAGCTTATTACACTTCAATGGCAAGTTTGAACAAATTTCCCAACTCGAATCTGTTTAAGTTGACCTTGGGAAGCGAAGACAGTGGTGATGTGAGCGAGAGAGGGAGGCTGAGTTATTTTATCGACCGAGACCCGACTGTGTTTGAACACATTCTGAACTACGTCAGGTAAACTGAACAAGAACAACTTTTCACATCTTCTATTTCTCCTCTCTAGTTTTCATAACGCGCTGCCTTCTAAAGATTCATATACATTAGCTTGCCAAAGGGTCATACACTTTCGATTCCTTGGAACGAACAATAATAGAATTTGAAGGGAATGAGTTGCATCTCTCATGAGTAACATCGCGCCTACTCATCGGTTTAATTATTATTCAAGTGTCAATGAACGAAGTGAAAACACTATTTACATCGTGTTTTTTTTAAGAATCGATGAACGAAGAAGACTCTTATATATAGGTGGTGATGTTTTTTCAAATTTTCGGTTTTTTTCAGGAAAAGTCTTCAAATTTGTTCAGGCTTTAATTTGATTTTTCGCAGTTTGACTGATTTGTTTTTAAGTTCAGTTTGTTTCCTTTGTTAAAAGGAAGTAAAACTCCAATATCGAACTTCAAAAACTTGAAGGTCACGAAAATTGTGATCGCCTTCTACTTTAGAAAGGGGATATTAATTGTCGCAGGGAAAATTTACTTATTGATCCAGTTTTCTCAAATTGTGTTAATTTTACCTACAATGTGTTATGTCAAGTGTAAATTTTTCTAGAACTTGCTCTCAAAGAGCTTAAAGGCCATCTAATTTTTGTTTTCGAAATTTGAGATTTTTTTTAAAAAAAAGTCCGTTTTTTCTGTTTGCGTTCATTGACTCTTGTTCACTGTATGTTTTCTAGGACTATGTCAACATTTCTGGAAAAAAGTAAAACGTACTTCTCAATTTTGCGGTTGAGTCTTTGATTTCTGTTGAAGTTCAGTCTAAATTGAATCTGTAAACCTAAGGCTAATTGCGCTCTTAAATATTTTCAATGTCGCAAAAAATTTGAATGACTTCCAAACTCAATTATGGTTTATATTTTTCAGTTATAAAGAACGAAGTGATTTATCACTTATTTTGGTCATATTTTTTGTATTTTTTTTGCGGCTTTATTTGTGATTGTTTGTTCAAGTTCAATTCTAAAGCGTTTTTAAAGAAAGGCCAATTGCGCTCACCAATGACAAAAACGTGAATGACTTTTCCCTTTAGAGGAAGATTTTACCGTGTATGTTTTTTTCTCCGAAAGTTGACAAATGCTCATAAAAATTTAATCGTTTCTCTAGGTTTCCATGAGTTTATTGACATCTTTACCACTGTCTGTTGGCTATGTTCAGTTGAATGTTAATACTCGAAGTGAAGACACTTATTTAAGTCGTAGGTTTGATTCATGTTTTCAGGAAAATGTCACGCTCTGTTCACGCTCTTATTTGTTCACGCTCTTATTTGTTTTTTGGTGGTTCTTAAGTTCAATTTAAATCCGTTTGCTGAAAAGAAGAAAAATTTGTGCTTTTCAATTACGAAACTGCCTTTTTGTATTACCTGTGAACTTAAAATTTTAATTCTTAAATTACCCAGCGGAAGAAAAAATCTTGATCAGTTTTCTCAAGTTTCTTTAATTTATAAAAAAAACTATCGTTTTTTTTAAAATTCAAATTCATTTGCTAAAAGGAAAAAAACTGTGCTCTCTATTATACTAATGAAAGTGAAAAAAACACGATTCACTGTGAAAAAAAAACACGATTTCTCCGGAATGAAAAAATTGACAGCTGTTCAAAAAAGACAATGATTTTTTATTGGTTTCAATTTTTGTGATTTCATTTTTTGGATTCACTTTTTGTGTTTTATTGACACTTTAACAGCTGGCTGTTGGCTATAATGATTTTAATGTTAAGAGGCAAAGCGAAGAAGCTCATGCTAATCGTGTCTTTAAATGTTTTTTTTTTAAAGGTTTCAAAGTTGTTAACGGATCAAATTTGATTTTTCGCAGTTTGACTTCAGTCTTTAATAGTCGATGAACGTAGTTCAGAATCTCATAAAGGCCGTGATTTTTTTGTTTCGTTTTTTTTCTCAGGAAAAGTCTCGACTTTTCGCGGTATCATTTTTAATATCGACTTTTCGCGGTATCATTTTTGACTTTTCGCGGTATCATTTTAAAATTCTTTTTAATTCAGCTTTTCTCTTTTGTTAAAAGTAAGGCATACTCCACTATCGAACATCAAAAAGTCACAATTTTTTGTGAGAAACTTTTTGATCGATTTTTAGTTTCGGAAGTGGTATTTAATTTTCAGATTTCCAAGCGAAATAAAAACCTTCTCTTCAACGAACGTGCATCGTGCAAAAAACGCAATTTACTTTTGTATTAAAACTGGATTTTAATTCTTAGATTTCCCAGCGGAAAAAAATCTACTGTCTATTAATCAAATTTTCAAATAATCAAAATCGGATTATTTTACCAAAAAACTATCAATCATTGAAAGAATTTTTTTGTGAAATTCGGAAATAAAAAATGTTTTTTTTTGTCAGTTTTTTTGTTTTTTTTTGAGATCATTGACACTGTCCAACTGTCTATTGGCTATATTTATCAATTTTCTTCATTCTTAGGATTTTTTCCGGAAAATTTTTAAATTTGTTTAGGAGTGACCGCTTGTGTTTACCGTCAGATTTTAAAAATTTCGAGCTTCTTCAAATAGAAGCAACGTTCTACGACATTCCTGGACTAATATCTGAGGTCGAGCGCCATAGACATAAATCTGGGAGAATTGAAACAACTAAAAGGGAATACAGCGAGTCACATTACATCTTAATGGAAGTTTCCAGAACTTCAAAGGCAATCGAAATCAGTGGCGCAAAGAAAACGATTGACTCAATTTTCAACATAAACTCCAATTTAGCTGTCGGCGCAACAAACTGTCTTTATTACCAACAACTTCGGCTTTCAGAGTCGGTAAAAAACTTAGCACCGGCAGAAGCTGTGGATAAAATTTTGGGGACAGGAGCCTTCAAGATTTTCAAAGTGTCGACAATCACGATAGAAAATGAGCCAACCACAAGCTACCATTTTGTTGTCCAATAAAAACTCAGCAACTGCAACCACTTGAAGCTAAGTTTTGAGTAACTTTGTGCTCTCCAAACAAGCTAGATATTGCTAAGAAAAGCATGAATCTTTTGAAAACTAGTTTCATAATCATATTCAAGAGTTTCTTGTTTGTTAAACAAACGATATTTAAACTGATATGTACGTGTATTTTTTGTGTCCAATAGTCACTGCAATATTTTCATTACGAATTTGAACTTTGTTATAACTACCTATTTTTTTGCTTGTAACTTAAAACGATTTGTCTGCTACTAAACGCAGTCAAATGTCTTTGCAGGAAACGATACTTCTAAGTATTTAAACGAAACGCATCTATTTAACATCATGTATTTTTAAAGAACAACGACCAATTGAGTGTGAATAAACCAGCCGAAAGTTATGTCACTGATTACATACGCCAGCCAAAAATCGTCATTCGAATGAAATTTGGGGTAATTTGGTATTTTTGGCTGGTTAACATGGCAGCTCCTTTATACTCCTGCTTGTTGACAAACCACAGATCAATTTTTTTATCGCAAAAACACTGAAAACAGGTGAAGAGTGCATTCATGTCATTTATGAACGAGAACAAAAATCCCACGAAAGTGAGCAAAACGAAATTGATAAAGAGGCAATTGCTGAGAAAAATTTGCGAAACTAAGTCAAAGAATGTTGAAAAACCAATAACAAAAATTGCATAATTCAATTTGAAGAAAATACGTCCAATAACAACCAGCTTGAAATAAGATTTCAGAAAAACCTAGCGAGCTTAACTAACTGAGCAGACAAGTTTGGAGCAAATTTACATTAAGCCGAAAACAATTGTTGTTGTAGAGTTATTAAGTACTGAAATTCATCCTTTTGATAACTTTCTTTATAAAAGGAGCAAAATTAAACGACATACAATTCAAACTACATAAAAGCTGTCCCTTCAAACGACATAAAACTAGGTGACTAAGCCGATAGAGCGTAAGTCGGAAACATTTTTAGACCCTGTTTTTCAAGTTTTTAGACAGGTCTCTGCTAGAAAGAATTTTATTGGTAAGCCTGTAAACATCACAATAGAGCATGGAAGCTAGCCGACAGAAAAACAAGACTTTGGCGGAATAAATTATTCCGAAAAAAAATCGAAAATAGGTCTACCAATGTTTTCATACGTTTGTCTCGAACGGAATTAACTTCGAGGAAAAATACACAAAAATGACAATTATCAGCATTAACGAGGCATTGAAAAAACTAAGAATCGGCTATGAAGCCGAAAAAATTTGGATGGCCTCTTGTTGAGTCGAAAAAAAAAAACTTCCAAAATAACTTGTGAACTTCAAAAATTTTCTCAGGGTTTGTGAAAATTGTTTTCAAAATAAGTTTGACAAACCCTGAGCGCCCTTTTATGAAAAATATCACCCCTCAAACGACGCAAATTAAGGTGGCTCAGACGATATGAGACTAGCGGAAACCTCTTAAACAACCAAACATTTTAGGTGAATAAAAAAAGCTGAAAATCAAAAAACCAAACATCATGAACATAAATGAGCGTAAAAGGAATTCAAAAAGCAAACATACTAAAATTCATCTGGTGACTGAATATGTCAGCTAGCGAAATGATTCAGTTAATCGGAATTGATTCCGTTGCCTGTTTGTTAACCGGAAAAGAGTCTGTTCCGATTTAATGTGCCTGGTCTTTTCCTTTCGCCATGTGCGGGAATCGAGCGCACAACCTGGAGATCTCTGCCATTTGCTCTTTTATCTAATAAGACACTAGCCATCAATAAGGTGGATAAGCAAATGATATTAAATGGCTGACGCTATGCCATAAAGGTCACCATAAAAAAGACTTGTAATATAGCACAAAGCTTGCGTGTAAAAACGCTGTCAATGTTATCGAACCCTGTCATTCTGCCGAATACTTTAAAAGTAGGAAAAAACTTAATTTGCATCCACTTAGAGCTTAATTGCAACCCACTGCTATTACCCAAACAAATACGAATTGCAAATATGAACGGATTTGTCAATTAAGTGTAACTAGCGTTTAACTTACCTCCTGTGCTTCGAATTTTTGACAATTCATAAAAAAATGCATATTTGGGATGAAGATCTGCATCCTTTGAGTGTACTCTGTCAGCACCCAATTACAGGGTTAGCAATTTCAAATTTTGCGCAATAATTTTTCTTCAAATTTTGAAAAACCATAACACTTTGTGAAGTTTTTTATATCTAAGTTCATTGGAAAAATTTAAAATTTTATAAAAACGTCTCATCTCAAAAACTAAAACCAATTGAACAAGATTTGCAACTCCTGAGAGCACTCACACAGTACCCAAATACAGCGGTGGGAATTTGCAATTTGGAGAAACTTCAAGTTTAAGTGCTCTAAAAACAATTTTTTGAAACAAGGTTAAAAACGCATTATCTGGAAAAGTACAGAGAATTGAGCAGTGATATCGGAAGACAAGAAATGCAACCCCTGGAAGTACTTTTGCAGTAACCAAATAGAGAGTTGGAAATTTCAAATTTTGTGAAAAAATTCTAAATTTCAGTTTTCAAAATCACAAAAAACGTCATATCTCGGAACTACAAGGTCTTGGCAGTCATATTTGGAGACAAAACTTGCAATTCTTGGGTGTTTTCCGACAGAGCCCCACTATAGATATGTTGGTGAAATTTTTCATATCTAAGATCTTTAAGAAATTAAAAAACAACAACAAACGTCACATCCGGGAAATTAAGAGCATTTGAGAAGCAGATGTGCAACTTAGAACTCGTGAAAGTACCTTCACAATACCTGACTACAATAACGAGAATTTCAATCTTTCTGAATATTTTTAAATCTATGTTTTCTGAAAAGTGAAAAAAAAATCATAAAAAATTTCGCCATATCTCGAAATTTACAATGATTGGAGAAGTCATGATTGGAGGCCCAACTCGCAACCCCTGCGGTAACTCTGACAGCATAAAACTATTGGTTTTCTAAATTCAACTTATGAAATAAACCCTGAGTTCAAACTGGAAAATCGAGAAACATTCCTTAATCATTGCATTATACGATATAGTTTTAACGTAACAAAATTCTTTCGTTAAACAAGCAAAAATCTTCCGTCGAAAAAACTTAAACACGGCGCGATAGTAAAGCCCACATTTAAAAATATAATAGAAAATAGGTAAGCTCTTCTTTGTATGACATGGCTGCAGATTGGTTCAAAGAGGCCGCAGCAGAAGACGAATTGAAAATCAGTTGGCATTGAAGCCCAGCCAACTTCATCAACGACATTTTATTCAATTAGTCTAGCATCATATTGTTCATTCTTGCAAGACTAATTTCCTTGAGTGTTTCAATGTGCTCAATTTGCAAAATTTATGAATATATAATTTTAATACTGAAGGAAAACTGAACTTTACACCAACTGCGACACATCAGATATAAAACTGATCAGGAGCAAAACCTGCAGCATCTTCCAAACTTTCAAAATCTACAGCAACCAAGAAAAATTTAACACAGAGGCAAAAAAGAGCTTTTCAAATCACTTGCGATAGCACAAAAAGCACAAAAAAACATTGAAAGATAGCATTTAGGAACGGAGAGGAAGCAACCAAGTCCAAAGAAAATAGAAAAAGTTTCTTAAAAATCACAATTAAAAACCTTCAATATGTTGTCTGGAATGATGTTCTTTTGTAATAAAAACATCCAGAAACACATTTGATGGCGCTTAATGAATATTTAAAAACAATTTTCGAGCTAAAAAGTTGCTGTCAAGAAAAAAATTGAACTTATTTCTTCTCTGAGACTTTTAACGTTTTGTGCAAACCAGAGGAAAGCATACAAACAATAGTTCCCTCGAGCGATCCAAAGTTAGGTTAGTAAGCCAATAAAGTATAAGCCTAGATCATTTAAACCAAAAAAAAAATTCAGCAAAAAAAATCAAAAAAGAAAAATACGAAGTCAAGGCTAGTAGAATTACAAGTCGCAGGAGTAAATGAAAACAAAAAAAGCAATTACAAGGAAATCTGCATACAGTAAAAATTCTATTATATGGCAACTAAGCCGACGAAACATAAGCAGACAAATTATCAGCCGAAAATTTTTCTGAATATTTCCCGTTAGAAAAAAAACAGGACCTGTTTAGATTCGAACCCAGGACACTTGCCGTCCCAGACGTATTCGTTACCACCAGAATTAATGCGCCGGAGACGCTTGAAAGTTTGAATTCATAAAAAACCAAGATACCAAGTGAATCTGTTGAACAGTTTGTTAACCCAAAAAAAGTCTACATTCCGGTTTGATAAAAAATGTATATATTCAAGCGTAAACAAACTTTTATATCAGAAAGCTCATTCAGAAATTCCACCCAGAATAAATAGTCAAGGAGACAAAAACATATTCTCAACAGTAGAAAAAATGTCGATCAAAAATTGCACACAAATCAAACTTGTAAAAATTTTAGAATCTCGATTACCAGACCTATAGATAACTTGTGATAGTTTTGACGTTACACCTGCACTAAATGTCGAGAATCGGCCATTCCAGCAGATTTACTGTAAAACAAATAGGAAACAGCAACAAAAACCATCCTTCCAAATGTTTGGTAACAACTTTGATAGAATTTCAATGAAGAAACTTGCTCAGCCTAACTAACTCTTAATTTTTGAACAAGTCAATTCGAATAAATCAAAAACTTTGAAAAATTCATTTGAAATTGATAGATTGGATTGGATCACTGAACGGCGAAGTTTTTGAAGCAAGATATCAACCGATGCATTTATAAAAAAAATGCAAGCTGTCTTGATAAATTGTATTAAGTTGCTATACAAATCTCAAACTTTTGACATACTTCCTGTTACTTCATAGCGTGAATCGGTTCACAAAAAGTTAAATATATAAAAAGTCGCATTCAAGCACTTTATGTTTTTCAAAGCAAGTTCATCAAGTAATGAAACGTGAAATTTGGAAAAAGTTCTCATAGCTTGATTCGGCTCAACATATGAAGCGATGACTATTTATGCAAACAATCTGTTCAAACAATGAAACTCTCTAAATACTTCAGTTGTATACAAAGCTCGAATCGATCAGCAAAATCTTTGAAGTTTACTCGGACAAAAAATTTTTTATTCTGAAAGAGTTAATTGATATCGCGAAACGATTTGCCATTAATGAAAATGTTTTTGAAAAAGCTTATCATTCGTTGAAAATATTTTGTTACACCATGAATTGAATTTAATTTTTCTAAG